ACGTAAACATATTCACCTCACTGCATTTGGCCAGCAAGCCTGGGCATCGGAAGAACAACCTCCAGCCAGGTAAACTCGCACCGATCAGCTGATCGCCGAGTCATAATTCAGTGCATCCGTACTGCGGCTGTGAGCTGTGTTGCGTCGGGTCCACGCCTCGCTTCCTGCGAGTTTAGCTCTGTCCAGAACACTTGAGTTACGTTCTGGCTGCGGTTACTCTCGTTCTAAAACACACACTACATTTTGCACGCCCAAATTTGAAATTGCAAGGCGTTTTCTTTGTTATACAGGTTTCAGGTGTGCAGAGGAACAGTAATTGGCCTACTCTCAAATCTGACATGTTAGTTGAATTAGTTGAGTTGGGAATTCGCATCGCCATTATTCCAACCATATAGTGACGAGATCTAGTGTGCATTCATAAACGTTTTAGGTCGAAGGTCCAAATGAGTTCTATTTAACACACACATGCACGCACGCACGCACACACGCGCGAGGTCCATCCCCATCCGTGTCAGCAGTAGGTATAACACATTTTTGGCTTTAATTCATGATGTTTATTTCTTCCTACTTGGGGACCCACTTTTTTTTGCATGAGGTCCCGAGTATAACCTTTGATAGTGGGTTGAAGTCACTGTACGGGATCAGCAGTGGAAATAAGGGCTTGTCAAGAGCTGCTTTTGCTGCAGCATCGGCCTTTGTGTTACCTGCTATGCCGACGTGACCCGGCAACCAGCAGAGGACGATGTCGCATTGGCCAGTAGAAAGATCATTCTAAAATGTCCAGGATGATAGGGTGACTTGAAGTAACATTTTGAAGTGCTTGAAGGCAAGTTAATGAATCTGTAAAAAACGATAAAGATTTTGGAATGATTCTGTTGTTTAAAATAGGTCAAAGCCGTGAAGATAGCTTTGGCCTCATCAGTGAAAATGGAACTATTGTCGGGAATCCTAGAGGAGACACTCTTGGATCCAATGACTGTAGCACTGGCAACTTGACCATCATCCTTGGATCCATCTGTGAAAATGGATCTATATGGGTGTCATACTTGGAACGTAACTGGTTGTATTCCTGCTGGAACTCCAAAGGATTTGTTTCGGACTTTTTGAGTTTGGTGAGGGTAAGATCGACCTGTGATTTCACCATCTGCCACGGTGGCGAAGACAGAAGCCGGTAAGGTGCTATGATATTAAGGTCAATTTTAGCTGCAGATATGTGTGGTTGTATTATGATTCCAAGTGGTGGAACCAGGCTTGGCAGATTGGAATCAGGTTTTTATACAGAGGGTTGAAAACACAATCGTATGTAATAATAGTTAGAATCTATGTAGAGAAATCTTAGTGGTTAAGAAGGGGCGGAGATTCTAACTGACTTAGAACTCCGCCTACTTTTGATGGACAGTTGCGAAGTGACGTCACTAGCAAGGCCATATACACTGATCTACGTCATTTCTTTACCTCACAATTCAAATGTGCGCGCCGAAGTGGAGAGCCATGGACGAGCAGTCCGGTTTCGTGAATTTTTATTTGTTGTTCGACGAACTTTTCAGTTGCTGTTTATTCCATCTCAAGATTTTGTAAAACATGAGGAAAGTGACGGTCGTTTCGCCCCACCTCTATCATCCTATGATATCAAACACGTCAGGAAGCGATACCGAAGAAAACGCGACAAAACAACCAGTGGGCACTAAATGTTTGGAAAGACTGGGTGCAGTACCGAAATCAGCACAATGCAACTCTCCTAGAATTTGGTGTACTTCCAGAGCATATTTCTGCGTTGAATAACCGCAACCTTGATTTCTGCATGCAACGTTTCATTCTTGAAACACGGAGAAAGGACAAATCGGCATATCCCCCCTAACACATTGACACAGATCGTATCGGCGTTACAGAGGTACCTTCGACAAGACTGTGGCAGACCAGATATAAACTTTTATAAGGAGCACGATCCTACTTTTGCCATATTTCGTAAGACATTGGACGCGCACATGAAGAAATTAACGGCAAAAGGCGTCGGCGTTGACAAGAGACGTTGTGACCCATTAACAGAAGCGGACGAACGGAAAATGTGGGAATCCAGTGTGTTTTCTTTGGATTCGGCGGAAGGACTAAGTAATGCTGTCTTTTTCTACAACGGAAAAGCGTTCGCTTTTCGTGGATTCCAAGAACATAAAAATTGTGAAGCGGATCAATTTCAGGTTTTGAGTGATGCATCTATTCAGGTTGCCCACGATGGCCCCTCCCCCCAATAGCTGTTTTCAATAATTTGTCCCCAGGCTCCTGTACGACTATCGTCGGAAAAGTAAACCCTCCGCCATGATCTAATGTTCCAGCGAACACGTTGATTACAGCAGGCAAATCGTGCAGCTATGTGAGCTGGAGACAATATTATACGCTTGATCTGTCATCTGGCCCTGCTGCTTTCAGCGGATTCTTGACGGCCCTGCAGGAAATGGCTCTCCCTTGTACCCACTGTTGCCTTAACGGTGTGCTTGAGTCCTATGAACGGCGCATAACAAGTCTCAACAATACTCTCTTATTGTTGCCCTACAGAGTTTGCCAGGTCTTGATAAATCTTAAACGTCATCGGTAGCACTGTGTTTGTTGAAGAGTCGTGAAAGTATGGAAGGATTGCGCCCAACGTGATGTCCAATTTGTCTGAGGGATATTCCTTCATTTCTCTGGGCAATAATTTGACACCTTGTAGCCTCTGACAATTTACGACATGCCATGACAATCATGGTACTGAATATTCAATCCAAATTGAGAGCAGAGAGTGTGTCATGTTATCAGTAAAGAACTTGATTTCGACAATGTTGATGGCATGACATTTCACGTGCATCGCCCGTAGTTGCGCGTGCATTGAATATCCCTAAAGAATTCATGATATACAGGAAGATGCAAAATGTTAAGAAATCATTCAGAAAAATTCTCATTTTTCTAAATTCACAAAATTATAGGTGGCTGAATCTGGTGTTGCTTAATTATTCCCACATGTATATGAGTATTCTGCGAAGTCCATCTGAAGCATGAGGTGTTCTTTCAATGTTCAACAGTCACTGTCTCTTCACTGAGACCGGATGTATGTTGTTGCTTAATAGCCTTCTCCAACACACATTCGATTAGCTTCATGGCCTTCTTTTTTCGTCCATTTTCATTGACTTCGACTCTCTTCCATTGTCCAAATACAAACTGGTCAGGATATACTCAGCTTCTGCTGTTAGGTAAATGTATCAGCCTTGGCACAGACAGATTATCAATCTTGATTCACAGCCACCAGTTTATCTCTTGTTTTACCGGTGTTTCTTTACTCTTTCCCTGATAACATTGTTTCTCTTTTACCTTTCTTTGCGATTCAGCTGATTGACTGGAACATAAGTAAGCCATTCTTCACCTTCTCTATTTTGCAATGTATTACATGGTAAAGTACACTAGCATGACAGAAATGTACGTTACCACACTAGAAATGTACGTTACCACACTAGAAATGTACGTTACCACACCAGAAATGTACGTTACCACACTAGAAATATACGTTACCACACTAGAAATGTACGTTACCACACTAGAAATGTACGTTACCACACCAGAAATGTACGTTACCACACTAGAAATATACGTTACCACACCAGAAATGTACGTTACCACACCAGAAATATACGTTACCACACCAGAAATGTACGTTACCACACTAGAGAGCGACCGTTGTTGGCAGTTACGCAGCCGTTTTTTCAACTGGACATTTTTTCTTTCATTTCCCATCTGATGGTAACGTACATTTCCGCCATGTACAAGGTTGTTCTTATGACAATCTTTTCCGCTTAGGGACCGTTAATAATTTCTCTCTCACAGGTTGTGTTTCTTCCAATAAGATAAAAATGACAAAACCTTTTGATGAAATGGAAAATGTATGTTGAAGCACACTGCAATACACGTGTTTTATCAGCAAAATGACATTGTAAACAGCGATGTAGTGATGACCAACGCAGCGGTCGGTTGGCCCATACATGCCAGCAGGACTAAGTCGCCTTGTCCCTGTGAATCGGCTTACGCGATGACCTAATGATGTGGCTGCTGATGACGTCACCGTCAACATCCAGTTGCGTAGGTGAATAACCCGCAGATAGCGATCCTCTTGGGGTGTTGTGACTCTGGAACGTCCACTTCTGGGTCGATCACATGTCTGGCCTGTCGTACTGAAACGGTTAAACAGCCGAATTATGGTTTGTCTTGTGCAACCCAATGTCCTTGCAATATCGCTGTTGAAAGCACGCATTCGTGTCATTCCATTCATTTGCCCCTTATTTTGTACATAAATTGTAGGGGGGGTCATTCACATTGTACATGCTACTCCATAAAAAAATCATCCCCACACACACACACACACACACCTAGCCATAAATTATGAACTGTTGAAAATGCCAGCTTTTTAGCACAACGACAAATATATATCTGACTTCCACTTTCGTGATTGTGTATTTGTCTCCACACTGCATGTACATCTGTTCACGTCTTTGTGCAACTCAAGTACCTATAAAACATAATTACTTCTTGTTATTTGCTATATTTAACGTCGCACTAAGGTATCACGGCAACGGGGTAGTATACTTATTAAGAAATCAGGGGGAACATAAAATAGAAATTTTCAAACAGTGGTGTTACCACCCAAAAAAGCAACCAACCCTATTTCCCCCTCCTTTCACACACACACACTCACACACACACACACACACCCGACTAGTTCTTGTTTACAAAACAAACTCACAGCTATAAAGAGTAAACTGAGTGTCCGGTAAGTGATAAAGTGCAAATCCCTGCAAGTAATTAAATAATCTTGGGTGTCATGGGACGGACATACTGCGTGTATGGTCCTCACTGTTATGTCCCTTCTCCAGCGTAACTATGGATTGTAAAGCTCGGGAACGACGCCGGATACGAGGTGAAGGTTATTTCGCTGTAAAGAGCTTTGCTTAGCCACAGTTACGTCCCCTTAAGGGAAATACGTGTTTCCCTTAGCAACCATCGTCAACGAATTCCGCCATCATAGCAAGTGCTTGTGAACGGTGGTGTCAGTCAGGCCTAAACTCCACCCGCGGACGGGATTTACTACCACGTATGTTACATTTCTTATTAATGTTTTCATTTTGCTTCATCATTTATCGATCATGAACCCAAGCACTTAATGATTGTGTCGGTTGCTGTGGTAGATGCTTGCTGCTGCTTTCCTTGGTGGTGCCGAAGCGGAAGGCTTGTAAACACGTAGCCTAGATCTAATGGCCATACTTATAATATCGCAGGTGCCTTTCAATATGTATATCATACCGTGAAATGTAAAGGCTTGCTGCCCAAAGCCATGGTCAATAATCATCAGTATGGGTAGTGTCATTAGATTACATTACGGTATGTACAGTGTACGACCCATTTTAGCAAAAATGTTGATAATAATCATTATGACTGCAGTGTTTGTTCGGTTTGTTTTGTATAATGCGGTGTGTTGGCAAACACACACATAGTAAATAATTGAATGGCAGGTTGCATTTACAATAACCTTGTCTTTTATGTTACGTTTTTCAGATCGTCTTCAAGCTTTTCAAAACCCATAACATAACCCGGTATATTGTATCAATAATGGTAAAACTCCAGGGTTACTCCAGGGTTTGCTAATGTTCTCATTCCTTCTGACGTTTATATGTCTTGGTAAATATAAACTTCAGTATTTGCATCATCAGATCAGTTTGTATAGTTGTTAGGGTTCTAGAAAACTGTGACATTTCCTACCAACCTCTTGAACTCATAATTGATAATAAACATGCAAACACTCTATTACGGAATCGTCTGGTTATATGCTGGACTAGATCATTCCTAAAGAAAATACATGTATGTGATATGTTTTTGTTTTTCTTAAACGAGTGGCTCAAACATCTTCATTTCTATCACTTATCCTGTTTTTATGTTGAGAATGATGTATATATACCGGTATGTATGTGAGTATTAACCTATTTTATATCAATGTTAGAATGAGAACACAATTTCAGGACTTATAGTTTCTCTTTATAGAATATTCTCAGCTTCAAGCTTATATTATCAAATGATTTGTTTGAGTGGCATTCTAGTCATCCCTAAATTATCAAAGGTATAAAAAACACACACATTTATAGGTTTCACTGAAGCAAGAGCCAGAACTGAATATGCAAATGTTTGTATACCAAAACTGCCAAATAAATAGCCTTGGCATGTATGCTGATCAGTTTGTAACACGTTATGTTAATGTAACCTTTGTAATTGTAGTTAGTCACTTAACGCACTGGAACCGAGTTTTTGTGGATCACATATGCATCAAAATGCAAGGATTACAATATAGCATGTCCATTCAGATTCTCCAAGCTGTAATTTGTAACAGTCAAACAATTTGTTACTCTCTGTTGCTAGGTGTAAATTTACAGGCCAGGGTGTGGACAATTTTCATTCTCAAATACATGGTGTTTTTGATAATAATTGGATAATTACTACTACGCAAATATTATCAGCATCAGTCGAAATAGTTCAAGCAATTTTGTTCCATAAACCTCATTCGCTCAATAAATAATGCAACAGTGAGCTGTGATGATGTTGATGCTTGCCCGCACAGTGTGAAGTAACAGTATCAGACACTGATCTATATAGTCTGTCGTGATATGGAGATAAGTGTATATTATTATATATATGATTCATTGCTGATGTTGGTGGCTGACGTTTATTGAGTTTGACAGTTCATACAGTCATAGTTCAGAAATACTCAACAAGCCAGAAGGGTATTTAAGAGGCATTGTGACTGAAATGTCATAAATCATGAAATATACTAAGAGTGAGTGAGTTGGGTGAGTTTTACCTTTAGCAATATTCCAGCAATATCATGACAGGGGACACCAGAAATGGGCTTCACACATTGTACCCATGTGGGGAATCGAACCTGGTGACGAGCGAACGCTTTAACCACTAGGCTAACCCACCACCCCAAATATACTCATGGAAACAAATAAGGGAACACATGAAAGTACAAGTGTTTCTTTATTTTTTCCAAGTTTCTTCACAAGGTATGTATTGCACTGTGGGTGAAATTCTGGAAATAAATAAAGGAACACTTGTACATTCATTGTTCCCTTATTCATTTCTGTGAATATATGTTAAGAACCAGTGCTTATCAAATATCATGCTTCACAAGAAAGATATCGCCAATGTGGTAGAGGGAATTAATGGACGGTAACCTTCATGGTATGATTTTCAGTAAAGCTTGTGTGTGTAGATATAAACAGTAAATCTATGTTGCCATGGAATACTTATCAATAATAGTAGAGTTACAATAATCACGTCGCTGGGAATTTGTGATATATAACTGGCCACTCGTAGGAATTTTATATGATAATATTTAGTACAGCAGACCAGACGCTTGAACAGTTTGCTATAACTGATGGTATATTATGTGTTCATTCTACTGCAAGCACCACAGCTTTACGTAGTTGTTAATTCTTGATGCTTTAGGAACTAATCAAGTGCCACAATGCCACGCCCACGATCAGCTCGGTCAGATGTGAGTGACCCTGACATGGAGGGTCTACAGGAGGGGGAGCTACTGAAGCTGCAGAGGCAGTACCGCATCATGGAAGGTGACCGTGCGGCCTACACAGAGGAGTCCACCAACATGATCCGGAAACAAAGGTAACCAGACAGTCTTCTGTACAGCAACACATGTTGAGAAAATCATTCAGTATTACTTCCACACACAGCATGTTCACAGTCAGCTGTAGTTCTATACACAGGGTGTTCACAGTCAGCTGTAGTTCTATACACAGGGTGTTCACAGTCAGCTGTAGTTACATACACAGGGTGTTCACAGTCAGCTGTAGTTCTACACACAGGGTGTTCACAGTCAGCTGTAGTTCTACACACAGGGTGTTCACAGTCAGCTGTAGTTCTATACACATGGTTTTCAGAGTCAGCTGTAGTTGCATACACAGGGTGTTCACAGTCGGCTGTAGTTCTATACACATTGTGTTCACAGTCAGCTGTAGTTCTATACACATGGTGTTCACAGTGAGATGTAGTTCTATACACAGGGTGTTCACAGTGAGATGTAGTTCTATACACAGGGTGTTCACAGTGAGATGTAGTTCTATACACAGGGTGTTCACAGTCAGCTGTAGTTCTATACACATGATGTTCAGTCAGCTGTAGTTCTATACACAGGGTGTTCACAGTCAGCTGTAGTTACATACACATGGTGTTCACAGTCAGCTGTAGTTCTACACACAGGGTGTTCACAGTCAGCTGTAGTTCTATACACAGGGTGTTCACAGTCAGCTGTAGTTCTATACACATGGTGTTCACAGTCAGCTGTAGTTCTATACACAGGGTGTTCACAGTCAGCTGTAGTTCTATACACATGGTGTTCACAGTCAGCTGTAGTTCTATACACAGGGTGTTCAGTCAGCTGTAGTTCTATACACATGGTGTTCACAGTCAGCTGTAGTTCTATACACATGGTGTTCACAGTCAGCTGTAGTTCTATACACATGGTGTTCACAGTCAGCTGTAGTTCTATACACATGATGTTCAGTCAGCTGTAGTTCCATACACAGGGTGTTCACAGTCAGCTGTAGTTCTATACACAGGGTGTTCACAGTCAGCTGTAGTTCTATACACATGGTGTTCACAGTCAGCTGTAGTTCTACACACAGGGTGTTCACAGTCAGCTGTAGTTACATACACAGGGTGTTCACAGTCAGCTGTAGTTCTACACACACAGTCAGCATGTTCACAGTCAGCTGTAGTTACATACACAGGGTGTTCACAGTCAGCTGTAGTTCCATACACATGGTGTTCACAGTCAGCTGTACCAGTGTACCAGTCGAAGTGTAGATCACTATTAGTAGTTCATATTTGTCATTAAACTTAACTGAAAATGATGCTTAGGTCATATTTGGATAATAAGACAAAAGGTCTTTGTACAAACTGCCATTATGACCTGCACACATACCCAGCAAACAAACCTTCTTAATAGAAGATTGTCCACCACTAGAATGTACATGGAATTTCAAATGTTATTTCAGAGCAGAGATGAATCAACTGGAAAAGGAAAAACAGGAACTGCTGAAGGAACTTCGTCTTGCTGAAAGTCGAAGTAACCAAGTCCGTGATGAGGAGCATACAGACACACTGGTGACCTTGGTGGAGGCTAAAGGTATGTACAGTGGAGCAATGTACCAGGCAGATGGGGGTGTTGTCAGGCTTGTCCATTGCCATGTAGTAGATATGATGCTGAAAAGATATTAGCACTTACCGATGGTGTATAACACTTATCGAGAGCGTGTAACACTTATTGATGGTGTGTAACACTTACCGATGGTGTTTAACACTTAGTGATGGTGTATAACACTTATCGAGACCGTGTAACACTTATGGATTGTGTGTAACACTTACCGATGGTGTTTAACACTTAGTGATGGTGTATAACACTTACCGATGGTGTATAACATTTACCGAGAGCGAGTAACACTTATTGATGGTGTATAACACTTAGTGATGGTGTTTAACACTTACCGATGGTGTATAACACTTAGTGATGGTGTATAACACTTAGTGATGGTGTATAACACTTATTGATGGTGTATAACACTTAGTGATGGTGTTTAACACTTACCGATGGCGAGTAACACTTATTGATGGTGATGGTGTGATGGTGTATAACACTTACGATGGTGTATAACACTTAGTGATGGTGTATAACACTTACCGATGGTGTATAACACTTACCGATGGTGTGTATGGTGTATAACATGGTGTTTAACCTTAGTGATGGTGTATAACACTTACCGATGGTGTATAACACTTAGTGATGGTGTATAACACTTACCGATGGTGTATAACACTTAGTGATGGTGTATAACACTTACCGATGGTGTATAACACTTAGTGATGGTGTTTAACACTTAGTGATGGTGTATAACACTTAGTGATGGTGTATAAACGATGGTGTATAACACTTACCGACTTACTTATGGTGATGGTGTATAACACTTAGTGATGGTGTATAACACTTAGTGATGGTGTATAACACTTACCGATGGTGTATAACACTTAGTGATGGTGTATAACACTTAGTGATGGTGTATAACACTTACCGATGGTGTATAACACTTAGTGATGGTGTATAACACTTAGTGATGGTGTATAACACTTACCGATGGTGTTAGTGATGGTGTATAAGTGATGGTGTTACCTTAGTGATGGTGTATAACACTTAGTGATGGTGTATAACACTTAGTGATGGTGTATAACACTTAGTGATGGTGTATAACACTTAGTGATGGTGTATAACACTTACCGATGGTGTATAACACTTAGTGATGGTGTATGGTGTATAACATAACACTTAGTGATGGTGTATAACACTTACCTGGATGATGGTGATGGTGTATAACACTTATTGATGGTGATGGTGTATAACACTTAGTGATGGTGTATAACACTTACCGATGGTGTATAACACTTAGATGGGTGATGGTGTATAACACTTAGTGATGGTGTATAACATAACAGTGATGGTGTATAACACTTAGTGATGGTGTATAACACTTAGTGATGGTGTATAACACTTAGTGATGGTGTATAACACTTAGTGATGGTGTATAACACTTAGTGATGGTGTATAACACTTACCGATGGTGTATAACACTTAGTGATGGTGTATAACACTTACCGATGGTGTATAACACTTACCGATGGTGTATAACACTTAGTGATGGTGTATAACACTTAGTGATGGTGTATAGCACACTTACCGATGGTGTATAACACTTAGTGATGGTGTATAACACTTACCGATGGTGTATAACACTTACCGATGGTGTATAACACTTACCGATGGTGTATAACACTTATTGATGGTGTATAACACTTACCGATGGAGGATAACACTTATTCATGGTGTATAACACTTGTCCATCATGTTTAAGATTTATTGTGCTAGTGAGCTAGATCTACTGATTGTGTGTAAGACATACTGATGATGTGTTTCATGAAAGTATTGAACTATAATCTTTAGACTTAGATTTATTCTGGCAGATGACTGTGATGTAGAAATCAAGGAGGAGAAGCAAAATCACGTTGAACTTGATGCTAAGATCCGAGAATGGGAAAAAAAGATTCGCAACCAGCATAAGAACATGGGGGGTGTTCACATGAGTGCCCAGCACACCACACAGACACAGAAGACAGTCCGCGTGCTGGAGAACAGATTGGACCAGGTGAGACTCATAGCATCAAACCTCATTATAACTTCATGTATGCAATCAGGTAAAACTAGGTCAAGGTGAAACTTGAGTGTGTCAGTACCTATGAAAGATGTATGTGAAGATTCATATACAGGTTACTTGAGTTGAATGTTGATTTCATACTTCAGTCCAAGAAGCGATTCAATGATTCCCTGTCTGACAACGCCAAACTGCGGGATGAAATCCAGGGACTGAGGACGGAACACAAAAGGTTTGAGAATCTCTACAAGAAACTAGAGAAGGAGCTGCGCCAACTGCGGCGGGAAATGGGAGGGGATCCAGACTTCCACAGAGGCCTACGATACCAGGTGAGATCAGGATGCCTAGATACTTAGATGTTAATGTAATGTTTGTTACCAGGCACAATGACAAGGCCAAGATGCTGATGGTAATGTTGTATATTTCACCAGGGATGACGCCCAGGCCAAGATGCTAATATTGTATGTTTCACCAGGGATGACGCCCAGGCCAAGATGCTGATGCTAATGTATGTTTCACCAGTGATGACGCCCAGGCCAAGATGTTGATGCTAATGTTGTATGTTTCACCAGGGATGACGCCCAGGCCAAGATGCTGATGCTAATGTTGTATGTTTCACAGGGAGGGATGATGCCTTGTTTGTTTCACCAGTGAGGCCAAGATGCTGATGCTAATGTTGTATGTTTCACCAGGGATGACACCCAGGCCAAGATGCTGATGCTAATGTTGTATGTTTCACCAGGGATGACAAGATGCTGATGCTAATGTTGTATGTTTCACCAGGGAGGCCAAGATGCTGATGCTAATGTTGTTTGTTTCACCAGGGATGACGCCCAGGCCAAGATGCTGATGCTAATGTTGTATGTTTCACCAGGGATGACGCAGGCCAAGATGCTGATGCTAATGTTATTTGCCATGAGATGCAGGCCAAGATGCTGATGCTAATGTTGTATGTTTCACCAGGGATGACGCCCAGGCCAAGATGCTGATGATGTTTGATGGCCTTCCAGGCCAAGATGCTGATGCTAATGTTGTACCACCAGGATGACGCCCAGGCCAAGATGCTGATGCTAATGTATGTTTCACCAGGGATGGCCTTGAGCCAAATGTGATGCTAATGTTGTATGTTTCACCAGGGATGGCGCCCAGGCCAAGATGCTGATGCTAATGTATGTTTCACCAGGGATGGCCAAGATGCTGATGCTAATGTATGTTTCACCAGGGATGACGCCCAGGCCAAGATGCTGATGCTAATGTTGTATGTTTCACCAGGGATGGCGCCCAGGCCAAGATGCTGATGCTAATGTTGTATGTTTGGCCAGGCCACACCAGGGATGGCCTTGGGCCAAGATGCTGATGCTAAGATGATGTTGCCCAGGCCAAGATGCTGATGCTAATGTTGTATGTTTCACCAGGGATGACGCCCAGGCCAAGATGCTGATGCTAATGTTGTATGTTTCACCAGGGATGACGCCCAGGCCAAGATGCTGATGCTAATGTTGTATGTTTCACCAGGGATGACGCCCAGGCCAAGATGCTGATGCTAATGTTGTATGTTTCACCAGGGATGACGCCCAGGCCAAGATGCTGATGCTAATGTTGTATGTTTCACCAGGGGATGACGTTTCACCAGGCCAAGATGCTGATGCTAATGTTGTATGTTTCACCAGGGATGACGCCCAGGCCAAGATGCTGATGCTAATGTTGTATGTTTCACCAGGATGACGCCCAGGCCAAGATGCTGATGCTAATGTTGTATGTTTCACCAGGGATGACGCCCAGGCCAAGATGCTGATGCTAATGTTGTATGTTTCACCAGGGACCAGGATGATGCTGACTTTCATGTTATGCCAGGGATGCTTAGGCCAAGATGCTGATGCTAATGTTGTATGTTTCACCAGGGATGACGCCCAGGCCAAGATGCCAAGATGCTGATGCTAATGTTGTATGTTTCACCAGGGATGATGCCTTGGCCAAGATGCTGATGCTAATGTTGTATGTTTCACCAGGGATGACGCCCAGGCCAAGATGCTGATGCTAATGTTGTATGTTTCACCAGGGATGACGCCCAGGCCAAGATGCTGATGCTAATGTTGTATGTTTCACCAGGGATGACGCCCAGGCCAAGATGCTGATGCTAATGTTGTATGTTTCACCAGGGATGACGCCCAGGCCAAGATGCTGATGCTAATGTTGTATGTTTCACCAGGGATGACGCCCAGGCCAAGATGCTGATGCTAATGTTGTATGTTTCACCAGGGATGACGCCCAGGCCAAGATGCTGATGCTAATGTTGTATGTTTCACCAGGGATGACGCCCAGGCCAAGATGCTTGTATTGAAGGACAAGGCAGATAAAGACATGCAGCACGCACAATGCAGAGATGAAGGAGCTGGTCCGCATCATCGACCATGACCGCAAGCTGAAGGAATTCATGGGCATCAAGGGCCAGGAAAGACAGGAAGATCCTCAGCTTGTTGCATGGAGACAGAAGAAAGGTCAGCTTATATCTGCGTTATAACAGCATGGCTAGAATGATGTCCCATAGCTTGGTATTAGACTTTAGGTTTTCTTGAACAGGAATTGGTTTTGTGAAATATTGTCCCAGAAAATATTCAGTGTTATAATTTTGCCCATGATTTTATACCAGAAATACATGTTAACTGCCCTGGAAATGTGTATGGTGATTCCTTCCTGAACATTGTGGAGCCCTACAACTAATACGGCTACATGTCTTACGTCATGTGGCAATGTTGTGTTGACAGAGGCGCTGGAGGCTGAGCGTAAGAAAGAGAGTCAGGAAGACTCCGTGGAGACGTATGAGCAAGCCTTCGAACTCATCAAGGAGATGACACAGGAGGATGACCTGGACCTTCTCGTCAACAGATTCATTGAAATTGAAGACCGTAACTTTGCTCTCTTCAACTATGTCAATGAACAAAACAATGAGATTGAGAAATTGAACGATGACATTCAGCTAGTAAGTACCTGAACGATGACAGTGAAATTGTCAGTACCTAAGTTATAATTCACTCATTTAGAGTAGATCATTAGACTAAATATTGATGCTTTCGGGGAATTTCTGTTTTAGTGTACTTTTTTGTATGCAGACAGTAGTTTACCCCTTTATAAAACTTAATTCAAACTGGGAGGAGGTGTGTGAGCATACTGAGTACCAACAATGAGGTTTGATTATTTCTGCCAATGCCGTGATATTAGCCTGTGCATGTAACACCAGACATAGCATGTCAACAAGTTCGAACTGAAGTACTCAAGTTAGTCCTCTTAAATTACTGTTGGGTCTATCAATGTCCTGTTGCACTCACCTTATTATGACCTTTCTACCCCAAAATGGGTGTGTGCGTTACATATAAGTGATCCTTATACACAAGGAATGTTTTAATTACATTCTTACATCAGCTGTGTTAAAGCCTGTCTTTGCAAGTTCCTGTTCTGCCTGTCTACAGATCAAAGATGAAATTGAGAAGTTCAAGGCCGAGGGTATTGACCTTGAGACACAGAGGAAACACATCCTGAAGAACTTGGAAGAAAAACAGAATGAAGCCTCTCAAGATGCGGATGACAATGAGCAGAAGTACAAGGAGGTGTCTAAAATCCTGGACCAACTGAAAGCAGGTGACACATGGGTTACGAGGAGTCTTCCGTTTTTATATTGCTGTTAACAATATTCCAACTCTGAATATACGAAGAATATGGTTGGTGATGATTTGTTTTACCCCAACCTGAAAAGGTGGGGTAAAGTTAATCCAAGAATTCCATCTGTCAGTCTGAAAACATTTGTTCTGAGTGAACCAATAAGTTGAAAAACGTTTGGTTGGATTGTTTTCAAATTTGGTGACCACCTCCTTTGTCTAAAGGAGAGATGCAGTGCAGATTTTGTTTATGACACTTTAATTTTTGTTCAGCCAATAACCTGAACCCATTTGAATGAATTGTTTTGTGTGTTCACTTGGTTCACTGTGCAGGTTTTAATCACACCATAGCACCTCTTACAGTCACCCTTGCTTCTTGCAGGTATCGACTCACTCTTCAATAAGATCAACTGTGAGAGGTCAGCTATTGATGACATGCTAGGTGCGGCGACAGGGGTGACGGAGGGCAACATGATACAGTACCTAGGCATCATTGAACAGAGAACAAATGAACTGTTGGCAGTTCAGGCCTATAACAGCACAAAGGTGAGTTTATCAGTGAGTGGTGACATTAACCGTCTGTGGCTTCAGGTGATGTAGGACCGTCTGGGAGTTCAGTGATAGATGTTGTTTTCAGGGAATGTAAAGAACAGTGTTTACATATCTAAATTCAGAAATATGATTCATACTTGAGGCTAAGAACATAGATATTCTTTTTCTCCAGGCTTTGTCTTTGTCTATCCCAAATGGATAAAATCAGTGAGCCAGCCTGTCAGTTCAGTTTTACATTTGACCTGTCTGAGTGATCTACAGTTTCATTCCTGGAACTCAGACAATCTGTGATATCAGATAACAGGAGACACTGTTTGACACCATGGAAACAGAAACGTGTGTGTGTGATACATTTAGTGTGACATGTGACAGTGCTTGACACCATGGAAACAGAAACGTGTGTGTGATACATTTAGTGTGACATGTGACACTGCTTGACACCATGGAAACAGAAACGTGCGTGTGTGTTTGATACATTTAGTGTGACATGTGACACTGTTTGACACCATGGAAACAGAAACGTGTGTGTGTGTGATACATTTAGTGTGACATGTGACACTGATTGATACCATGGAAACAGAAACGTGTGTGTGTGATACATTTAGTGTGACATGTGACACTGCTTGAGACCATGGAAACAGAAACGTGTGTGTGTGATACATTTAGTGTGACATGTGACACTGCTTGAGACCATGGAAACAGAAACGTGTGTGTGTGTGTGATACATTTAGTGTGACATGTGACACTGTTTGCAGGTCCAGGACAGATATGAAACCAAGGGTCACGGATTGCTGGGCGAGGGACCAGCAGCGCCACAGCAACAACTTCCTGTCATGCCCCCCACTGTCGGGTCAGTAAATGTTATAACATGCAGGAATATTCATAATGTCAGTTTGAGTTGGGGTCAGTAGATGTTATAACACGGGGGGAATATTCAAAATGTCAGTTGAGTTGGGGTCAGTAGATGTTATAACACGGGGGGAATATTCATAATGTCAGTTTGAATTGGGGTCAGTAAATGTTATAACATGCAGGAATATTCATAATGTCAGTTTGAGTTGGGGTCAGTAGATGTTATAACACGGGGGGAATATTCAAAATGTCAGTTGAGTTGGGGTCAGTAGATGTTATAACACGGGGAATATTCATAATGTCAGTTGAATTGGGGTCAGTAGATGTTATAACACGGGGGAATATTCATGTCAGTTGAATTGGGGTCAGTAGATGTTATAACATGGGGAATATTCATAATGTCAGTTTGAATTGGGGTCAGTAGATGTTATAACATGGGGGAATATTCATAATGTCAGTTTGAATTATTCAGTAGAATGTCAGAATATTCATAATGTCAGTTGAATTGGGGTCAGTAGATGTTATAACACGGGGAATATTCATAATGTCAGTTGAATTTGAGTTGGGGTCAGAATATTCATAATGTCAGTTTGAATTGGGGTCAGTAGATGTTATAACATGTGGGAATATTCATAATGTCAGTTTGAGTTGGGGTCAGTAGATGTTATAACACGGGGTGAATATTCAAAATGTCAGTTGAGTTGGGGTCAGTAGATGTTATAACACGGGGTGAATATTCAAAATGTCAGTTGAGTTGGGGTCAGTAGATGTTATAACACGGGGGGAATATTCAAAATGTCAGTTGAGTTGGGGTCAGTAGATGTTATAACACGGGGGGAATATTCATAATGTCAGTTGAATTGGGGTCAGTAGATGTTATAACACGGGGGAATATTCATAATGTCAGTTTGAGTTGGGGTCAGTAGATGTTATAACACGGGGGGAATATTCAAAATGTCAGTTGAGTTGGGGTCGGTAGATGTTGTCATATTAGTGTTATTATAATATACACAAGTGTGTTAGCTAACCAACACAAATATCCTTAATCATCCTCCGTGATTGAGGGAACGGGATCTCCCTTCCGTTACCTGGACCGCTTCACAAATAAAGCTTCATATCAGAAGTGTAGTCTTTCTTCTTGCAAACCTGAAATGCAGTTATTGTTTGCTAAGGGCCAGGGCCTAGATTTTCGAAGCTCTTTAGCTAAGATAGTTGTTAATGTTAATGTATGGCACTTACGACTATCTTAGCGCTAAGAGAGCATAGCAAATTAAGATGTGCTACAGTGGGTGCTGGAAGACTATGATGATCATTTGTATTTCCTGTCTTCTTGTAGTGATGAATACGAGAGTGAAGGAAGTGAGGCTGATGATGATGAGATGCGACCTATGACCCGTGTGGAGCTGCAGGATCGGGTGATGAAGACGGTACGGAAGCGGGAGTCAGCTGCCAGGAAGGAGGGCTTCAAGTACGACCTGTCCAATGCCCGGGAGAAGGCCCAGAAACAGCAGAAGAAGGATGGCAAGAAGTAACCACAAGACGACCACTGTTGTACATAGTTGTGTTAAGATATATGTCTGTGATATGGACCTCACTGTTCTGGGGGGAGCAGCATGGCTGCCTGACGATAGATCCTATTAACAGAATGGGTTGACATTTACCCATCAAGTAACTATATTAATTGTTTGTACAGCCGGACTGTGTTGCCGGACTGTGTTACACCTCGAGGTGGAGGAGGAGGACTGGAATGTATCACAAGCTTGGAGTGCTGCATCAGAATGTGGCCAAACTCTTCTAATTCACATTCTACTGAAGCGATGACTAGAGGGAATGTGTAGAATTCAATACAAATAAATTTACCACTTAAATTTTGTCGACTGTGCGTTTTTTTGTTTACCGGATTTCATTGCTGGACTATGAAATGTTAATTTGCCTCATTTGCTCACCTGCCAGCTATGGGAAGAGAATGGCTATATGGCAACAGCCTGGAAATAATCAAGCCTGGACCAGAGAGTCCATTGATCTACAGAATTGGGATACGATGATATTTCAACTAAGTCAGCAAGTCTGAGCACAAAATCCGATTAGTCATCTCTTATGACAAGGCAGAGAGAACTGTTGTTAGACTCTTCCTAAATACTCAACAATGTTGCCCAGGATCCAGTTCATTTCCCATAAAGAATACTGCATAACACAACTTAACACAGGTGCACAACGGGTGACCAGCACAGGTGCACAACGGGTGACCAGCACAGGTGCACAACGGGTGACCAGCACAGGTGCACAACGGGTGACCAGCACAGGTGCACAACGGGTGACCAGCACAGGTGCACAACGGGTGACCAGCACAGGTGCACAACGGGTGACCAGCACAGGTGCACAACGGGTGACCAGCACAGGTGCACAACGGGTGACCAACACAGGTGCACAACGGGTGACCAGCACAGGTGCACAACGGGTGACCAGCACAGGTGCACAACGGGTGACCAGCACAGGTGCACAACGGGTGACCAACACAGGTGCAACAACGGGTGACCAGCACAGGTGACCAGCACAGGTGCACAACGGGTGACCAGCACAGGTGCACAACGGGTGCACAGGTGCACAACGGGTGACCAGCACAGGTGCACAACGGGTGACCAGCACAGGTGCAACTGTGGTGACCAGCACAGGTGCAACAACGGTGACCAGCACAGGTGCACAACGGGTGACCAGCACAGGTGCACAACGGGTGACCAACACAGGTGCACAACGGGTGACCAGCACAGGTGCACAACGGGTGACCAGCACAGGTGCACAACGGGTGACCAGCACAGGTGCACAACGGGTGACCAGCACAGGTGCACAACGGGTGACCAGCACAGGTGCAACGGGTGACCAGCACAGGTGCACAACGGGTGACCAACACAGGTGCACAACGGGTGACCAACACAGGTGCATAACGGGTGACCAACACAGGTGCACAACGGGTGACCAACACAGGTGCACAACGGGTGCACAGGTGCACAACGGGTGACCAGCACAGGTGCACAACGGGTGACCAGCACAGGTGCACAACGGGTGACCAGCACAGGTGCACAACGGGTGACCAACACAGGTGCACAACGGGTGACCAGCACAGGTGCACAACGGGTGACCAGCACATGTACATTTAACAGGTGTTTTCACTTGAATTTGACAAATAGATCACGTGAATATTCAGCTAAACAGACTGATTGAGTTTGGCTTTACACAGCTGTTAGCAATATTCCAGCAATCTCATGGCAGGGACACCAGAAATGGGCTTCACACATTGTACCCATGGAGGAAATCGAACCCAGGTCTTCGATGTGACAAGCAAACACTTAAACCACTAGGCTACCCCAACGTCCCCCAGCTAAAAAGAAAACTACAAGATGCATATCTTGAGTTAATGAGTGTCAATTTACCTGTGTTCAACAGATCATAAACTGGTGTTCAGTCACTCTTCTTGTATGCATGAATGATTCAAAATGGGTCTACCCACTAAATCAGCAGTGAATTGGAGTCCCTGAATTTCGCTTATATCCCCCACTGTACAGTTCCCCAACTCAAACTAGGACAATTTCCCACACCCCACTTTTTGGTTTCTTAAAACATTCAAAAGATGAAATAATGTACAATATTTTCTTATCTGAACAATCAAAGTGTGACATCTACCGTATATAGAATCTCTTCAGGGTTTGTGAGTTTTGCAGTTGGTCAATCTACAACCAGAGTATTCATGTTGGGGACACCAAAGGTGATAGTTGACAGGACATATTGGTAGTGAATATTCAAAACATGTACATGGAATATCTTTTGGAATGTTTAATCCTTCCTGTATCTGTGATGGTGGAAAGTAGCACTAGTTCCTGCATTCTGTATGGGAGATTGCTGCTGTCAGAGTAGACACAGTCAGAGTAGACACGGTCAGAGTAGACACGGTCAGAGTAGACACGGTCAGAGTTTGGTCAGAGTTTGGCTCTTTTCTCATCACAGTAACTTTTGAACGCATGGGTATTCTCGCCAAAACAGCATCCCTTTGAAGATGTGATTTTGATTACAAGCAGCTAAATAACGCTTTTTGACAAATAACAGTTTTTACAATGCACATTCAGCTCACTGAAATTACAGTAATCATAGCAGTTGTCAAAATCACATTTCTTGATGAAATCCTGTTTACATGTTCAAACCCAATGGTTATAAGATCACAAATCCTAGTTCCTTTCCCAGTCATGGAGCTGAGACAAAGAGGCCAAGGCCATAATGAAGTATTTAGGGCCCTTTCAGAATAGTTCCTTTCCCAGTCGTGGAGCTGGGACAAAGAAGCCAAGGCCATAATGAAGCATTTAGGGCCCTTTCAGAATAGTTCCTTTCCCAGTCGTGGAGCTGGGACAAAGAGGCCAAGGCCATAGTTCCTTTCCAAACCTAATGCAATAACCAGACATCTTCATACAGATGTTTCATAATAAATTGTTATCGTTATAGGATATTTATATAGCACACATATCCATGCACTAGTGCATGCTCAAGGTGCTGGTATTTTTTCCCTCGATCCTTGGACGTCAATCTCAACGGCACATCTTATTATCCATCTCAACTGCCTGGGGATCATACAACTCTTGCTGCCACAAGGCGCACCGAGTTATTGTGGCTTTCCCATCCTTACGAGGTAACCAATTCACAGCTGGGTGGACTGGGACACATAGTCACAGTACTTTGTCCAAGTTTACTGCACGTTGCTGTACCCGCAACTAGGTGTTTGCACGTATTCATGTGGCCACCATCTGGTCATATACCAACGGATTTGTGGGTTCTTTTAAGTGCACAGGGTTGTGTACTGTACACTAGGGGTTCTGACAACAGTGAAAGAGTCCGCACACAAAGTTGACTCCAAGGATTTTACACCCGGTCACAGGTGGGCTCGATCCCGGCACCTCATGCTCGCTGGATCACTAGCCTGGCACCTTAGCCAGCTCGCCCATCACGCCCCACATAAATCACACTTTACGAGGACAAAAACATTTTCCCTGGTAAAATCATCACAAAACCAGAAGCTGGTTGTATAGATAAGATGGATCTGACTGATCACAACTCCACAATCACTTCTTCAAAGAGGCAGTACACAAAATAATGTGTTTCTACAAAACAAGTTGCATTTCTACTGCCTAGAATTCAAGTTTAAAAGTGCATTCCCCCCAAAATGTCACGGGTGTCATATGCAGGGTGGACGGATTCCACATGAATGACCAACACAATGCAGATAGGTTTCTTTATGCATGGCCCATGTGTTCAAGGGGAATTAACTTCTAAGCAGTAGTGTACCTCTATTAAATCATAGCCAGATTACACTGAAGGAAGGCTCCATCTTATCTTCATAATCCCAGTGAATTCTTCATGTGATCATCTGACTTCTGAAAAACGTGAAGATCCCATGCGTGTCGTAAAAAGTAACTAACAGGAAAGGGTGGTCAGGCTTGCTGACTTCGTTGACATGTTATCGTATCCTAATTGCGTAGATTGATACTCATGCTGTTGATCACTGGATTGTCTGGTCCAGACTCAATTATTGACTTCAGACATGGTCACTCGGACATTTGAGTTTGTTACATATTTAATCTTATAGTACTGTCGGAAATAGAAAAAAACTGTATTTTCTCATTTATCTCTACAAATTATGTACTTGATATGTGAAAGTTTGAAATATCTGTTAAACTAAGTTCGGCCTAACTACAGTCTCAGTGGTAGAGAAAAAGGACTTTACTGAGGGGAAATTAGTGCAGAAATGAGCAATGCGGTTTTTTTCTAAGTCCAAAAAGACGTATTTGAAACAGACCATGGCTTTATGCAAATTAGTGTGCGACGATATTGTATTACAAAGGACACTTTTTAAATGCCCAATTTGAAATTAGACGTAGATTCATTATAAACGATAGCTGACGTCAAAAATAATAACTTTTATGCCGAAACTATTAAGGATGTAGCTACCATGCAGTCTCACTGTCACTATAAAAAGAAACAGATAGGAGGGGTCGCCTCAAAAGCAAAACCTGGGGTTGGGCTTGGGGATAGAGATATCAGCTAAGATAAGATAATCCTTCCTTTAGGGCAATTATACTGGGGAGGTACACGGCACGTCATAACAATTTACAAATAATATCCAGTCCTGTCGATCTTCGGATGGTCATGCCACCTATATACTACGATGCGTTTCTATGGTTTTCGGGTATCATACTCTCTTACATATCAACATAAACTTTATGAAAGAAAGACACGTAAGATGTTAATCAGTAGATGAGACATAGTCAACACACATGGACAAAGCACAAAATATCTTTGAGATGACCCCTTGTGGCTGTAGGCAGCAAGTGCATTTCATGCCAGGTGAGTCGACGGTCCGTCGTCATACCTGGCTGAGTGACCTAATTGCCATCTATAGTCTGATCTAATGTTTTCAGCAGCTATTCATATTTTTTCTAAGTTTTGCCCGATTTTACGAGTAAACATGCTTTTCTGGACATCGTATTACGCATCCCACTGAACGCCCAGTTAGGCCGAAGTGGGTTATTTCGACATATGCTATTTGCAATTGTGTAAATTTTAGGGCTACAGAGTAACAGCCTAAAAACAGTTTTTTTCTATTTCCGACAGTACTATAGTTGCCATAGCAATATGTATACAGGTTCTAATTAACATGAGTTAGTATCAATTAGGAAGGTTTGTCACTGTATTGCCATAAGATTACCTAGCTAAGTACCTTTACACTTACATTTAAAACTTAGTAATAATGGTTATGTTTATACTTCAGCCTATTATACCTTATACCATATATTCCACTTACATGTAATAATAGTCAAAATAATGGTTATGTTTATACTTCAGCCTATTATACCTTATACCATATATTCCACTTACATGTAATAATAGTCAAAATAATGGTTATGTTTATACTTCACTATTATACAGCCTATTATACATAATAGTCAAAATAATGGTTATGTTTATACTTCAACCTATTATATTTTATATACCATATATTCCAATTTACATGTAATAATAGTCAAAATAATGGTTATGTTTATACTTCAGCCTATTATACCTTATACCATATATTCCACTTACATGTAATAATAGTCAAAATAATGGTTATGTTTATACTTCAGCCTATTATTCCTTATACCATATATTCCACTTACATGTAATAATAGTCAAAATAATGGTTATGTTTATACTTCAGCCTATTATACCTTATACCATATATTCCACTTACATGTAATAATAGTCAAAATAATGGTTATGTTTATACTTCAGCCTATTATACCTTATACCATATATTCCACTTACATGTAATAATAGTCAAAATAATGGTTATGTTTATACTTCAGCCTATTATACCTTATACCATATATTCCACTTACATGTAATAATAGTCAAAATAATGGTTATGTTTATACTTCAGCCTATTATACCTTATACCATATATTCCACTTACATGTAATAATAGTCAAAATAATGGTTATGTTTATACTTCAGCCTATTATACCTTATACCATATATTCCACTTACATGTAATAATAGTCAAAATAATGGTTATGTTTATACTCAGCCTATTATACCTTATACCATATATTCCAATTTACATGTAATAATAGTCAAAATAATGGTTATGTTTATACTTCAGCCTATTATACCTTATACCATATATTCCACTTTACATGTAATAATAGTCAAAATAATGGTTATGTTTATACTTCAGCCTATTATACCTTATACCATATATTCCACTTACATGTAATAATAGTCAAAATAATGGTTATGTTTATACTCAGCCTATTATACCTTATACCATATATTCCACTTTACATGTAATAATAGTCAAAATAATGGTTATGTTTATACTTCAGCCTATTATACCTTATACCATATATTCCACTTACATGTAATAATAGTCAAAATAATGGTTATGTTTATACTTCAGCCTATTATACCTTATACCATATATTCCACTTACATGTAATAATAGTCAAAATAATGGTTATGTTTATACTTCAGCCTATTATACCTTATACCATATATTCCACTTACATGTAATAATAGTCAAAAAATAATGGTTATGTTTATACTTCAGCCTATTATACCTTATACCATATATTCCACTTACATGTAATAATAGTCAAAATAATGGTTATGTTTATACTTCAGCCTATTATACCTTATACCATATATTCCACTTACATGTAATAATAGTCAAAATAATGGTTATGTTTATACTTCAGCCTATTATACCTTATACCATATATTCCACTTACATGTAATAATAGTCAAAATAATGGTTATGTTTATACTTCAGCCTATTATACCTTATACCATATATTCCACTTACATGTAATAATAGTCAAAATAATGGTTATGTTTATACTTCAGCCTATTATACCTTATACCATATATTCCACTTACATGTAATAATAGTCAAAATAATGGTTATGTTTATACTTCAGCATCTTATTGGTGGTGTGTGGTCCTGTGCATAGAGCTCAGGTCACAAATCAGTTGAAGTTAAGCAATGCTGGACGTGGAGAGTCCTTGGATGGGTGACCGTGTTTGGCAGCTTGATTCCTGAGAGTTTCTAGGACTTCTGTCCTGGGCCTCCTTTCACAAAGCACTATGGTGATCGTAAGTCACTAAGTGAACCTTAGTGGAATGTTAAAGAATGGGAGTTAAGGTTAACCTTAATAAAGGTTGCTTCATGAAAGGAGCCCCAGCTCCAGAACAAAGCACATATGATACATGTTGTCTCACCTTAGGCAAGTGACTTTATTCAAAATTGTCTCTGTTCACCCAGTAGAAAATGGGTAGCCAGTGGGATAAGTCATGTGACTATATATATCCTTCCGGCGTCTCACAGGCAGCTTGGGTTATCTGGGGTAATAACGAACTGTCTGTGCTATGAGCATGCAGTCGGTGTGGATTTAGCCCAATATAAAAGGACAATTAAATAATAATAATTAAATTGCATATATTCCACTTACATTTAAAACTAGTCAAAATAACGGAATGATAACATGGACAGAACAACACAGTGGGAATAAATAGTTTATTTAGCCAAAATAACAGCGTATATGACGTGTATGTAGTGTGTATGATGCGTACACAGAGTGTATGATATGTAATATATGATGTGTACACTTTATGTACAGCAATTGTATGACATGCACAGTGTGTATGAAGTGTATAGTGTGTATGACATGTATAAAGTGTGTATGACATGTATAGTTTGTATAATGTATAAAGTGTGTATGACATGTATACAGTTTGTATAATGTATAGTGTGTATGATGTGTATACAGTTTGTATGTGTATAACGTGTGCATGATGTGTATACAGTGTGTATGAGTGAGTGAGTGAGTGAGTTTGGTTTAACGCCGCTTTTAGCAATATTCCAGCAATATCACAGCGGGCGACACCAGAAATGAGCTTCACACATTGTACCCATGTGGGGAATCGAACCCGGGTCTTCGGCGTGACGGGCGAACGCTTTAACCATCAGGCTACCCCGCTGCCCCTACAGTGTGTATGACATGTATACTGTGTATATGATGTGTATGACATGTATAGTGTACATGACATGTATGTAGTCTGTATGACGTGTACAGAGTGTGTATGACGTGTATACAGTGTGTATGACGTGTATACAGTGTGTATGACGTGTATACAGTGTGTAGGACACTATACCTTCTGTATACAGCTGTGTGCTGTCACAATACATTTACAGAATTACAACACTATGAAACGAGAGAGGACGGACAAGATTTAAGATTCCTTGGACTATGCATTGACATACAATGCACGTAATATCACAGAACGCTATCAATATCATAACAATAAAGTTTAAAATAGGCAAAGTATCAAAGACAAACAGCCCTAAATACATTTGCTTGTGTAGTCAAGTTGATGTAAATGTCTACAATGAGGACTCAGAGGACGACATGTAACACAGATCCTGATCTAGGAGACATGAATCGAGGCACCATGTGACTGTTTTGACACTCTCTACACAGAACTACCCCCTCTTCCTGAACAGACACTCACTGGCATGTGGAGCTGCTCAAATGGTGTTCAACAGACTCAGCGTAGCCAGGAAGAATTTATCTCCTGGCTTTCTCCCCTTGCTGGTCTTCAGTGGAGTCGACAAAACTTAGTTCTGTTCGGGAAGATACAACATAAGTGTTCTACATTAAATGTACATTCTCTAAGAGATACACTAATTTCCTATGCACCTGGATACTTATAGTTGGCAGTGATTCTGAAGGTCTCTTCATTCTTATCGTCCTCATCATTGATGAAGACCATTATTTCAGCAATGCCAGGCTGGGAAACAGGGTTGAACCGAAGCCCAATCACGTGCTGCTCCCCACCGTTGATGGTCAGCTTGCTCTCCTTGAATTGGAGCAAGTCGTCACGGTCACAGCTGAGATGGAACTCCTTCTGGGCCGCGTATGGGTTGGTGTAGCTGATCCGCTTGCTGCAACCCTTGCCTCCACCCACAGGCAGTGAAAGCTCAAAAGCCCGTGAAACCATTGGTGCCCGACAGTTGACACAGATAAGCCAGGTACGAATAAGTTGGTGGTACTCGATATCTACCACATTTAGATAGTAGAACCTGTTGCCAGTCTTCATGGGGCGGACAGCAACATTAAGTTCATGAACAGCTCCAGCAGTTAACAGGAACTGGTCATCGGGAGACAGTTGCATTTCATTTGGGTGAGATGAGAAACAGCAACACAGGCGGTTGGACTGAGTCCCCCTGAAACAGCAAGTGACACATGAAGGTTTCAACATCTACAGGTACAAGTACTGACAGGTCTTAACACATGTCAGCTGTGCTGCACCACCAGGAAGTATCCAGACATACATCTCCCACACGTCATCTGTGCTGCACCACCAGGAAGTATGCAGAGAGACATCTCCCACACGTTATCTGTGCTGCACAACCAGGAAGTATCCAGACACACATCTCCCACACGTTATCTGTGCTGCACCACCAGGAAGTATGCAGACAGACATCTCCCACACGTTAGCTGTGCTGCACCGACAGGAAGTATGCAGACAGACATCTCCCACATACTAAATATCGGATACCTATATTGATGAAGTGCTTCAATAACCACATAACGATGCATTTAGTCAATAACCAAGGCAACACACTTAGTTCTGCCAACAACATGAGGCTAGCTGAGTTGTACCTGAGGATGAGGGCAAATCTGCTGGTCTGGCCATCGATACAGGACACGTCCACTCTCTGCAGGGCGTGCACGAAGAACTGCCACACCTGGGTGGGTCGGGACAGGTAGGGGTCGATGTAGACTGCCATGTGGAAGCGCTTCACCTGGGGCGATGGACCTAAGGGACACTGCAGGACACACACCAGAATCTTGACATCTTTCATAGGAATATTGCATTAAAATAGACATGTCAACCAACAACATCCCACCTTGATAAACACTTAAAACTACATCAACTACATCCCACAACTACATCTCACCTTGACAAACGTCTCACAACTACATCTCACCTTGACAAACGTCTCACAACTACATCTCACCTGGACATACGTCTCACAACTACATCTCACCTGGACATACGTCTCACAACTACATCTCACCTTGACATATGTCTCACAACTACATCTCACCTGGACATACGTCTCACAACTACATCTCACCTCGACATACGTCTCACAACTACATCTCACCTTGACAAACGTCTCACAACTACATCTCACCTTGACATACGTCTCACAACTACATCTCACCTTGACATATGTCTCACAACTACATCTCACCTGGACATACGTCTCACAACTACATCTCACCTGGACATATGTCTCACAACTACATCTCACCTTGACAAATGTCTCACAACTACATCTCACTTTGACATACGTCTCACAACTACATCTCACCTGGACATACGTCTCACAACTACATCTCACCTTGACATATGTCTCACAACTACATCTCACCTTACATACGTCTCACAACTACATCTCACCTGGACAAATGTCTAACAACTACATCTCACCTTGACATACGTCTCACAACTACATCTCACCTTGACATATGTCTCACAACTACATCTCACCTGGACATATGTCTCACAACTACATCTCACCTGGACATATGTCTCACAACTACATCTCACCTTGACATACATCTCACAACTACATGTCACCTTGACAAATGTCTCACAACTACATCTCGCCTTGACATGTGTCTCACAACTACATCTCACCTTGACATATGTTTCATAACTACATCTCACCTTGACAAACGCCTCACAACTACATCTCACCTTGACATATGTCTCACAACTACATCTCACCTTACATACGTCTCACAACTACATCTCACCTTGACATATGTTTCATAACTACATCTCACCTTGACAAACGCCTCACAACTACATCTCACCTTGACATATGTCTCACAACTACATCTCACCTTGACAAATGTCTCACAACTACATCTCACCTTGACATATGTCTCACAACTACATCTCACCTTGACATACGTCTCACAACTACATCTCACCTTGACATATGTCTCACAACTACATCTCACCTGGACATACGTCTCACAACTACAACTCACCTGGACATACGTCTCACATCTACAACTCACCTTGACAAACACATCATGTGGTTCCCCTGGCTGTGTAGCACGACTGTCGCAGACCACGTTGGTGTCACTGCAGCGGACATACACCTTGCTGACACCACTCCCCCCTATCTGATTGGCTGTAAATTATCAGTAAAGAGTCAGGAAACTGCACACAGCAAAGCAAGTGAATATACATCGACTCCCAATCTAATGACCCCAGATATTATTGTGCTAGGCGGACTCCATCTCTAATGATACACGTTTTTCTGCTAGGCTAGACTCCCTCTCTAATGACACATGTTATTCTGCTAGGCTAGACTCCCTCTCTAATGACACACGTTATTCTGCTAGGCTAGACTCCCTCTGAAATGACATATGTTATTCTGCTAGGCTAGACTCCCTCTCTAATGACACACGTTATTCTGCTAGGCTAGACTCCCTCTCTAATGACACACGTTATTCTGCAAGGCTAGACTCCCTCTCTAATGACACACGTTATTCTGCTAGGCTAGACTCCCTCTGAAATGACACATGTTATTCTGCTAGGCTAGACTCCCTCTCTAATGACACATGTTATTCTGCTAGGCTAGACTACCTCTCTAATGACACACGTTATTCTGCTAGGCTAGACTCCCTCTCTAATGACACATGGTATTCTGCTAGGCTAGACTCCCTCTCTAATGACACACGTTATTCTGCTAGGCTAGACTCCCTCTCTAATGACACATGTTATTCTGCTAGGCTAGACTCCCTCTCTAATGACACACGTTATTCTGCTAAGCTAGACTCCCTCTCTAATCACACATGTTATTCTGCTAGGCTAGACTCCCTCTCTAATGATATATGTGCTCATATACTGGGCCTGTGGATGAGTAGCATAGGCAACTAACCACTAACCAGTTATGAGAGTGAGGTAATATGGACATGGTGACACAGACACAACATGCATCACTCACCTGGCAGGGCATGGAGATCCTGCAGTCGGATGGATTTCTTCAGGAAGGACTGTTCCGGGTGGAAGAAGCGGAATGTCTGGTCAACAACATGAGGCTGAGGTTCCACCTTTAGGTGCAAGACAGCAATAGGTTTTCCATCCTCTGATTTGAAAATAATCTGAAAAATTGTATAGAATACACCCCTTAGGACTAAAACAGGATATCTAAATCTAAATACAGTGAAACCTGTCTAAACCGGCACACCACGGGACTGAAATAAAATGCCGCTTTAGACAGGGTGCTGGATTAGACAGTGACGATTATTTTCCAACATGGCTGCCATTTACACTCGTCAATCTCTCAATCTAGAGTGCCAAGAGGAGTGTATTGGATTAAGGGACGCTGAGTGGACTGCTCATACCCATGCCGGCTTAGAGCTTTGATTCACCGCGCAATCACTACTTCCTGATTATCTAGCGTGCCAAGAGGATTAATTAGTGTATTGGATTACGGGTGCTTAATTGGACTGCTCATACCCAGGCCGGTTTAGACAGTGTTAATTACAGTTCAAATTGCTTGTTGGGCCGCATAGTCGTGCTGGAATACGGAATAGACAGGTGCCGGATTAGACAATACTTTAATGATCATAATATCGTTGTAAAATGGCGGGACCAAACTTTCATGACAGTTTTGACAGGTGCCGGTGTTGGCAGGTTTCACTGTATTCATTTTCAGATGCATCATGACCTTGGCACTTGCCAGTCCCAGTGTGACAACTGTCTAAAGAAACGGTTAAGTTATAGTTCACTGGCAATGGTTCACTGGCTGCAATGGACTTTCAAACCAAACTTTTCTTTTGAAGAGAGACTGTCTGTGAACCTGTGTGGTGGCATTGTAATAATCTATGCACATTTGGTCTAGTTCCTGAACAAATAAACCTTCCCCTATCCCCAACAGTAACATTTCCTGACACCCACTCTTCATAACACATAGCACTCACTCTCCCCAGCCCCTGTCCCATATACCCCATTCTGCCCCTGACAGCTTGCCCTGCACCTCACAATGCACCCGACAACCTCTCCAGCACCTGTCTTCAACATCTTCCCCATGCAACCGACAACCTCTCCTGCGCATGTCCCCGACATCCTCCCCATGCACCTGACAATCTCTCCAGCACCTGTCCCCGACATCCTCCCCATGCACCCGACAACCTCTCCTGCGCATGTCCTCAACATCCTCTCCAGCATCTGTCTTCGACATCCTCACCATGCACCAGACAACCTCTCCTGCGCATGTCCTCAACATCCTCTCCAGCATCTGTCTTCAACATCCTCGCCATGCACCCGACAATCTCTCCAGCATCTGTCTTCGACATCCTCACCATGCACCAGACAACCTCTCCAGCACCTGTGCTCAACATCCTCACCATGCACCCGACAACCTCTCCAGCATCTGTCTTCAACATCCTCCCCATGCAACCGACAACCTCTCCAGCATCTGTGCTCAACATCCTCCCCATGTGCCCAACAACCTCTCCTGCGCATGTCCTCAACATTCTCTACATGCATCCAACAATCTCTCCAGCACCTGTCTTTGACATCCTCCCCATGCACCCAACAACCTCTCCAGCACCTGTCTTCGACATCCTCCCCATGCGCCTGAAAACCTCTCCTACGCATGTCCTCAATATCCTCCCCATGCAGCTGACAATCTCCATCCAGTTTACCTGCCCCCAACACCATCCCCTTTACCTGCCCCCAACACCATCCCCTTTACCTGCCCCCAACACCATTCCCTTTACCTGCCTCCAACACCATCCCCTTTACTTTCCCCAACACCATCCCCTTCCTTTGGCCCTAACACCATCCCCTTTACCTGTCCCCAACACCATTCCCTTTACCTGCCCCAAACACCATCCCTTTACCTGCCCCCAACACCATCCAGTTTACCTGCCCCAACACCATCTCCCTTTACCTGCCCCAAACACCATCCCTTCCCTGGTCCCCAACACCATCCAATTTATTGCCCCAACACCCAATTTACCTGCCCCAAACACCATCCCCCTTTACCTGCCCCTAACACCATCCAGTTTTTACCTGCCCCAACACCATCTCCTTTACCTGCCCCCAAACACCATCCCTCTTCCCTGGCCCCAACACCATCCAAAAACACCATCCCCTTTTTGCCCCAACACCATCCCTTCCCTTTGGGCCCAACAGCATCCCATTTACCTGTCCCAAACACCATCTTTACATGCCCTTAACACCATCCCATTTACCTGCCCCAACACCATCCCCTACCCTTGGCCCCAACACCATCCCATTTACTTGCCCCCAACACCATCCCCTTCCCTTTGGCTCCAACATCATCCCATTTACCTGTCCCCCACATCATCCCCTTCCTCTGACCTTTCCACCATCCCTTTAGCCTTCCCCCAACACCTTCACCTTTTCCTGCTCCCAACACCATCCCATTTACCTGGCCCCAACACCATCCACTTCCCCTTTACCCGCCCTCATCACCGATCTCCTCCCCCTCCCCCGACACCATTCCCTGCCCCTCCCCCGGCACCATCCCCTGGCCTTGTCTCTGATACTCACCCGCACACTGCGACTGTGGAGGATGTTGCTTTCCTCCTGCCCCTGCTTGTGGCTGACCTCCTTCTTCCGGAAGGGGTTAACAGGGCCCTGTTTAGAACAGACTTGTTAGTCACAGGGGTTCCTTGACAATCAGCTTCAATTCTTAAAGAGTGAATCTGTTTTCTGCCATTACAGAAGACAGGAGTAAACATGTACTAGTTGGACAGATTGAACACAAGAACAACACAACTGAACTAAATATGCACTTTTGATTAACAAACTAAACAAGCACCTGTGGTTGAACAGATTGGTCGGCATGGAAGCTCTGATACTTGAGTGGTATGTTGACTGTTTCCTTTGGCCGCAGGAAGATCTCTGGCCCATTGGATTTGCTCTCCTTGCTGAACATGCCCTCCTCCACATGTGTGTTGATGTTATTTATCTGCTTGAAGTGCCGCCACTCCCGTGCATCTGTGATCACTCTGAGGAAACAATGCTCTTGTCAAAGGGGGTACTTTGGTTGAACAAGCAAATTTGATTCAAACCAATAAGAAACAACTTCACCAGGTACTAGGATAGGACAGCAGAATGTACAATCTACCCACAGAATTCACCCTAATGCCAGGTTGGAACTTTCCGGAGATGTGACAACTGTCAACAGCACTCACCCAACAGCTGGGTCTGAAAATTCCACAGACATCACAGTTGTCTCAAATACTTACCCTACAGCTGGGTCCGAACATTCCACAGACATCACAGTTGCCTCCAGCTGGGTCCGAACATTACTTGCTCTCCAATACTCCCAACAGCTGGGTCAGAACATTCCACAGACATCACAGTTGCCTCCAGTACTTACCGAACAGCTGGGTCCAAACATTCCACAGACATCACAGTTGCCTCCAATAATTACCCAACAGCTGGGTCCGAACATTCCACAGACATCACAGTTGCCTCCAATACTCCCAACAGCTGGGTCCGAACATTCCACAGACATCACAGAACATTCCACAGACATCACAGTTGCCTCCATATACTCCCAACAGCTGGGTCCAAACATTCCACAGACATCACAGTTGCCTCCAATACTCCCAACAGCTGGGTCCGAACATTCCACACACATCACAGTTGCCTCCAATACTCCCAACAGCTGGGTCCGAACATTCCACAGTTACCTCCACACATCACAGTTGCCTCCAATACATCTTACCAGACATCACAGTTGCTCCAAGGGTCCTAACAACAGCACATCACAGGTCCAATACTCCCAACAGCTGGGTCGAACATTCCACAGACATCACAGTTGCCTCCAATACTCCCAACAGCTGGGTCCTAACATTCCACAGACATGGGTGCCTCCAAACATCCCAACATTTCCTCACATCACAGACATCAACAGCTTGCAACATTCCACAATACACAGTTGCCTCCCAACAGCTGGGTCCCAACATTCCACAGACATCACAGTTGCCTCCAATACTCCCAACAGCTGGGTCCGAACATTCCACAGACATCACAGTTGCCTCCTCCAATACATTCCACAGACATCACAGCCCAACAGGGTCCCGAACATTCCACAGACATCACAGTTGCCTCCAATACTCCCAACAGCTGGGTCCGAACATTCCACAGACATCACAGTTGCCTCCAATACTCCCATACAGCTGGGTCCGAACATTCCACAGACATCACAGTTGCCTCCAATACTTACCCAACAGCTGGACATCACATCACAGTTGCCTCCAATACATCCCCAGCTGGGGGAACAGTTCCCCACAGCTGGGTCCGAACATTCCACAGACATCACAGTTGCCTCCAATACTCCCAACAGCTGGGTCCTAACATTCCACCATCACAATACTCCCAACAGCTGGGTCCGAACATTCCACAGACATCACAGTTGCCTCCAATACTCCCAACAGCTGGGTCCGAACATTCCACAGACATCACAGTTGCCTCCAATACTCCCTACAGCTGGGTCCAAACATTCCACAGACATCACAGTTGCCTCCAATACTACCCAACAGCTGGGTCCGAACATTCCACAGACATCACAGTTGCCTCCAATACTTACCCAACAGCTGGGTCCAAACATTCCACAGACATCACAGTTGCAGCTGGGTCCAAACTCCACAGACATCACCAGCTGGGTCCAAACATTCCACAGACATCACAGTTGCCCCCAATATTTACCCACAGCAGGCATTCCACAGACATCACAGGCCTCCAAACATTCGAACACACAGACATCACAGTTGCCTCCAATACTCCCAACAGCTGGGTCCGAACATTCCACAGACATCACAGTTGCCTCCAATACTCCCAACAGCTGGGTCCGAACATTCCACAGACATCACAGTTGCCTCCAATACTCCCAACAGCTGGGTCCGAACATTCCACACACATCACAGTTGCCTCCAATAATTACCCAACAGCTAGGTCCGAACATTCCACACACATCACAGTTGCCTCCAATACTCCCAACAGTTAGGTCCAAACATTCCACAGACATCACAGTTGCCCCCAATACTTACCCAACAGCTGGGTCCAAACATTCCACTCACATCACAGTTGCCTCCAATACTCCCAACAGCTGGGTCCGAACATTCCACACACATCACAGTTGCCTCCAATACTCCCTAGAGCTGGGTCCAAACATTCCACAGACATCACAGTTGCCCCCAATACTTACCCTATGGCTGGGTCTGAACATTCCACACACATCACAGTTGCCCCCAATACTTACCCAACAGCTGGGTCAGAACATTCCATTGAAATGGACTGCTGGACGTTGTAGGGGTTCTTCAGGACGAACTCAAAGAATTCGGCGGTGGCAAAGGTAGGATAAATGGTGTGTTCGGTGGTGATGGTGTTGCTGAGCATGGTGAGGATGCCTTCTCGCTTGGTCTGCATTCGGTAGATCTCCATCGTCTTTATGTCTCTCGTCCTCTCTGCCTTTTCCTTTCGATAACCCTGCAACACAACCAGTGGACTGATTCACTGACATCGGCAACACAACTAGTGGACTGATTTACTGACACCGGCAACACAACCAGTGGACAGATTCACTGACACCGGCAACACAACCAGTGGACTGATTCACTGAAACCGGCAACACAACATGGACTGATTCACTGACACCGGCAACACAACCAGTGGACTGATTCACTGACATCGGCAACACAACCAGTGGACTGATTCACTGAAACCGGCAACACAACCAGTGGACTGATTCACTGACACCGGCAACACAACCAGTGGACTGATTCACTGACACCGGCAACACAACATGGACTGATTCACTGAAACCGGCAACACAACATGGACTGATTCACTGACACCGGCAACACAACCAGTGGACTGATTCACTGACATCGGCAACACAACCAGTGGACTGATTCACTGAAACCGGCAACACAACCAGTGGACTGATTCACTGACACCAGCAACACAACCAGTGGACTGATTCACTGACACCGGCAACACAACCAGTGGACTGATTCACTGACACCGGCAACACAACATGGACTGATTCACTGAAACCGGCAACACAACCAGTGGACTGATTCACTGACACCAGCAACACAACCAGTGGACTGATTCACTGACACCGGCAACACAACCAGTGGACTGATTCACTGACACCGGCAACACAACATGGACTGATTCACTGAAACCGCAACACAACCAGTGGACTGATTCACTGACACCAGCAACACAACCAGTGGACTGATTCACTGACACCGGCAACACAACCAGTGGACTGATTCACTGACACCGGCAACACAACATGGACTGATTCACTGAAACCGGCAACACAACCAGTGGACTGATTAACTGACACTGGCAACACAACCAATGGACAGATTCAATGACACCAGCAACACAACCAGTGGACTGATTCACCAAAACCGGCAACACAACTAGTGGACTGATTCACTGACACCAGCAACACAACCAGTGGACTGATTCACTGAAACCGGCAACACAACTAGTGGACTGATTCACTGACACCAACACAACCAGTGGACTGATTCACTGACACCAGCAACACAACCAGTGGACTGATTCACTGGCACCAGCAACACAATCAGTGGACTGATTCACTGACACTGGCAACACAACCAGTGGACTGATTCACTGACACCAGCAACACAACCAGTGGACTGATTCACTGACACCGGCAACACAACATGGACTGATTCACTGACACCAGCAACACAACTAGTGGACTGATTCACTGACACCAGCAACACAACCAGTGGACTGATTCACCAAAACCGGCAACACAACTAGTGGACTGATTCACTGACACCAGCAACACAACCAGTGGACTGATTCACTGAAACCGGCAACACAACTAGTGGACTGATTCACTGACACCAGCAACACAACCAGTGGACTGATTCACTGACACCAGCAACACAACCAGTGGACTGATTCACTGACACCAGCAACACAATCAGTGGACTGATTCACTGACACTGGCAACACAACCAGTGGACTGATTCACTGACACCAGCAACACAACCAGTGGACTGATTCACTGACACCAGCAACACAACATGGACTGATTCACTGACACCAGCAACACAACCAGTGGACTGATTCACTGACACCAGCAACACAACCAGTGGACAGATTCACTGACACCGGCAACACAACCAGTGGACTGATTCACTGACACCGGCAACACACCATAAACTAGAGAGAAAGTTAGTTAGAGGAGTGATCAGTTAAGTCTGCCTACTATAATGGTTGTTGTTTTTTCATTCTCCTGCTCTCCACTTTGCTGGCGGACTGCGTTCATCCGTGAAAGCTTCCTTTGCCTCTCAGAGTCGCCCCCCCTTTGCGTTTCTTCCTTGTCAATCAGTCTTTCCTTGGAGAACATCATGGAGGCCACTTCACGATTATCTGTCAGTGGCTGAGCTCTAGAGACGCCCAGCTTCTTCAAACCTGCATGACAAGAAACCAACATTAACCATCAATTGTCATATAGCAGATATGTTAATGAGATACCAAATTTCTATTGTGTTTGGGTCGCTGAGCTTTAAACACACCCATGTTCCAGATGGCAGTCAGGAGCTATGCTCTGTCGACTAGGACCTAGTTAGTAGTTAAAAGTATCTAGAAAATTAATATAATCCAAATGCAGCCCAGGACAATGTTTAAAGTGTGCAGGATAATGTGCAATCAAGAAATAGTTGTAAACTTGAGTTGGATTCATCGTTTAAACTCGATTTTGACCCTCAACTAAACGATCTTGACACAAATGGATGACGATGTGTCTGACACAACTGGGGTGTGGTCAAAGCAAGCCCTCTGGTTGGTCAATGCTTGCACATCAGCACATTCTTTATAAATTCGGGCGAATTTTTACTTTCATCGATTGCCCAATGTTAGAATATTTTTCGAGCAATGGCTTCTCAAAAGAAAGCATCAGTTGAAAATGTCACCTTATCAAGCATCAACCAACCAGAGGGCTTGCTTCGACCACATCCCCCTTGTGTGCGGATATATCGTCGATTTGTGTCATGATCGTTTCGTTGGGGGTCAAAATCGTGTTTCAATCGACTTGCAGAAATAACAATAAAGATTTGGTACCCGTAGCGATCGGCAAGCAGGCGGGTAGGTACACCGAAGTGTCCAGCCTTGTCATAATGTATTGTACTGTGTAGCATTTCGAGTCGGGGTCATCTCAAAAATGTAATTTTTAGAGTAAAATTGATATTTTATACTTATCCTGACTCATGCTTATTGCTTGTCTTCTTCTTCTTGCGAACATAGTGGAACACGTGTATCTCCCAATTGAAGTTCCCTTCAATAAAAAAATCACTAATTAGTACTCACGAGTTACCTCCCTTCCACAAGCGCGGGAACGAGGGCGCCACCTCAACCCATGTGCCTCACTCTCTCCTCATATACTGAGCCCAACACTTGAATTTCCAGGGAAATCCAAAGTGTTATGTGGGGAGGATGGGAGGGCTTACCTCATGAGTCAGGATAAGTATAAAATATCAATTTTACTCCAAAAATTACATATTTTTCCTTATCCTAACTCAAGCTTATTGCTTGTAGAATCCGACGGAAAAGGAGGTGGGAATATATAATACTTTGGATTTTAATAATTAGTGATTTGAACTGTGAAGATTGTAATAACCCTATGGGAACTTCATAAAGGCACTGAACTGATGAATTCCTGCTGCTAACTTATCAGCTGCCATATAAAGGTTATTACAATTTACTTATTATGATAAAAGTATATATAACATTAATACAATGCTTAAGACTAATAGACTTAAGCTTGTTAATATGATAGCATAAACTCATTAGAGTTTGTTAGCTAAAATACTTTTATGATATAAACATAGTACTGAGCTTAAGATATGATTAAACTTAAGCTAAATATATAATAGCAAAAACTCCTTAGAGTTTATTAGCTAATATACTTTTATGAAGTAAACATAGTACTAGCGAACCATAAGCTTAAGATATGAATAAAACTTAAGCTATATATATATAATAGCAAAACTTCGTAGAGTTTGTTAGCTAATATATTTTATGATATGAGTATAGTACTGTGCTTAAGATATAATTAACTTAAGCTACCTAAATAGCCAAAAAAAAACTCCGTAGAGTTTGTTAGCTAATACATTTTATAATGTAACCATAATGCTTAAGATGTGATGAAACTTAAGCTAAATATATAATAGCAAAAAACTCTTCAGAGTTTGTTAGCTAATATACTTATATGATATAAACATAGTACTGAGCTTAAGATATGAATAAACTTAAGCTACATTGATAATAGCAAAAACTCTGTAGAGTTTGTTAGCTAATACATTTATAATGTAACCATAGAACTGAGCTTAAGATATGATTAACTTAAGCTAAATATATAATAACAACTCCGTAGAGTTGTTAGCTTATATATAGTATGATATAAAAACCATAGTACTGAGCTTAAGATAATAAATTAAATTAGTACTGTTATCAGATAAGTATAAAATCTGTAAGATAGACTTATCTTCTCCGTGGAACTGTCAACTGTTGAGCGAGGACCATGGGACCGAAATGGTGGATACCTGAGACATCCTTGGTGGTGATATCTCTCAGATAGTGGTTGGCAAACACCATATCGGATCTCCAGAAACATCCCTCCATTATGGTATTCAACGAGCAATTCCCATGTAGAGCGAGAGTTGAGGCTAGCGCTCTAATTTCGTGAGGATTAGAAGCTCTTGGAGGGTCGAGTCCTGCAGCCTTGTAGGCACGCAGTATGACAGTTCTGATCCAGATAGAGATAGTAGTACGTGAGACTTCCGTCTGCGTAGCTGTAAATATAGGGATAAATAATCTCTTGAATATCCCTCTGCTCTGTTTGGATCGTTGGAGATATATTTTCAGTGCTCGAACTGGGCATAGTGATAGATCCATCGTATCATGTGGTCCAAGTATGGATGAGAGAGCTGGGACGTGGAATAATCTGTCTGGTTGACCTGGCAGTTGGTTTTTCGCTATAAAATCCCAGCGAAGTCCCAGATGAGCTATGTAATGAATATCATCAAAGCATGTTCTCTCGTAATCCAGTGCGTGAATCTCTGACATCCTGGTGGCCGTAGCTAGTGCTAACAGGAACAAGGTTTTGTGGGTCAGTGATTCAAACGAAGTAGATAGCAATGGTTCATAAGCCTCACTAGTGAGGTGTTGGAGCACTATATTTAGATCCCAGGCTGGAGCGTGAAACTTCCGTTTCTGATCCTCCAATCGGAACGCTCGTAACAAAGCAAGTAACTCTGGTGTTTTTGTCAACTTGACGCCCGTTCTCATAGTTATGACAGAACTTATAGCTGCAAGATAAGTGGACAAGGTTGAGCCTTTTAGATTCTTAGTTTGCCGTAGATAACATAAGAAATCTGCCACTTGAGGATGTGTAGCATATCTGGCTGTAAATCCTTTCTTAGCAGCGTAATTGACAAAACTGTGCCATTTGTCATCGTATAAGTTACGAGTTGAGTTACGTAGTGCAAGCGTGACCGCTTTAGCCGCTCTGGCAGAATAACCTCTCTTATTCAGACATGCCTTGATACAATCCATACGTGAAGTTGGAATGCTTCTGGTGTTTCGTGCACTTGTTTGGTGTGCGGATGTATCAATAGATTGGTGCGTTGTGGGAGCTGAAGAATTGGTTTTCCGATTTCTTGTACGAGATCTGGAAACCAAGTTCTCGCTGGCCAGTAGGGCGCAACCAAATCAGATGGAGGCTCTGCGTTTGACTGATTTTCTGTAAAACTTGTGGGATTAATGCTGGAGGCGGGAAAGCGTACGCGTTGAGTCCCTCCCACGATATGCTTAGTGCGTCCGTTGCCCATGCTAGTGGGTCTGGCACTGGCGATACGAATGTTGTCAGTTGCTTGTTGAATCGAGTGGCGAATAGGTCTATCAGAGGAGATCCTATTTCCATGATTATTTGATTGAATATCTCTGTGTGGAGCATCCATTCTGTCGGCGACGGTTGATGTGGCCGAGAGAGAGCGTCTGCTAATACATTCTTTGCTCCTGGAATGTGGCAAGCTCTGATGTGTATGTTTAGATTGTCGATTAAATCGAACAGTCTGAAACATCGAGTCACTAGGTTCTGTGACCTTGTTGAACCTTGTTTGTTCACATAAACCGTCACTGTTGAATTGTCTGTGTGAACCATCAACTGAGTGTTCTGTAGTAGGTTGCTCCAGTGACTTATGGCGTTTATGACTGCTTGCATCTCTAGCAGATTATGTGACATTTGCTCTCTTGATTGCTCCATAGACCTGACGCTGTCCTGCCGGCAAGGTGGGCTCCCCAACCTTGTAGTGACGCTGGCCTACGTGAGAGATGTGTTTTCGATTCCGGCTCTACTAAGGAGACGCGCCTGCGCAAACATTCAATCTCTTGGTCTTGATGATGAAATTCAACTGTAGTTTGAGACGCTGTGGATTTGGATCCACTTGTATCCCATCGTCGAGGTAAATTCGCTTAGAAGTCCTTTTGACGATGTAGGTGCACAACCAAGGGTGACTGCCATTGTTGAACTTTTATGTAAAAATCGCCTGACTGCCGTGCCCTCGTCCCATACTTGACAGGGGAGGTCTCTAACCTCAAGAAGGCAGGCCAATCATGAAGGTTCAGATTAGCTGGACTGTAAGGAGGCTTGCTCGTTCACTGATATAATGTTGTCACTTGCAACCTATGTCTTGAACTGTGAACTATGCTCGACCTCTGCGAGGGCGCTGTCCATCATGGTCCAATCAGAACAAGGCTTTTGATTCTGTAGAGTACCCGCGCTGTGATGTCACCGTGTAGCAGGAAAAGGAACCTTGTATAATATAGTGCCGTTGTTGATATTAGAACAATCGCCGGTCTTCACCGAAGCTTCCCCGGTTACCCGAAAGTGACCACGGTTACGAGGGTTAATGGTAAACGCCGCTGAAACTCCTCCGCGCCAAATACCTCGCTCTGTAATATTAATGATGGGTAGGTTATTTTCCTGGCTGTCGTGGAAAGTAACTTCAGTCTTGAAGATAATTCGACTTCCTTATATAAATGTTCAATAAAACTTGAAGTTGTCAGCTTGTAGACTGTATACATGAATGTATCGTCATAATTGTAGAATTAAAGCTGAACTTGTTGTACATATTTCTTCTCAGGAAATCGTTGACGATTAAGAGTTTTACTCGCTGTAACAAGGCTGCTGTTCAATTCCGTAATTGAATTGTCTGCAGATCTGCGTATGGGCTTTCGAGGATTTGGAACAGGCTGTATCCAGATTAGCTGGTACTGCTGCAATCGGGTCAATAGGAGGTAAGGTGAAATTATCTACATCATCATCCTTCATGAGGTAAGTCTGAGTTGAATTCTCGTTCTTCGATGGGAAAGCAAGTTGTAACTCATTCACCATCCAGTATCTAATCTCAGCA